CTTGCCCTGACGCTGAGAGACTTGGCTTTAAGAGCCGCCTGATTTTATTCTGATATATTTTTATTCCCACTGCGTTTTGAATGTTATAAATTAATATCCTCGTCACTGCCGTCCAAATCCACATAAACAACTTGTTGGTTGCTACTCTGGACACAGTCAGACATGAATGTTTGAGCAGGTTGCCCGGTCACAGCAACCCTCATTGTGTGTGGAGTTATCGGAGCAGCCCACCCCCCCCCACCACCACCCACCGCCCGCTCATAAATCGCAGCCGCGATGGCAATCTCTCCAACAACAAAAACATTACCCTGAGAGTTTCTGAAATGGCTGATGTGAGGTGCTAAGACGGCTCGATCGGCAGGTACGGACCACAGCCTCGTGCTAAACTGAGGGTCAGGCACTCTGTGTGTGTGCGTGTGTGTGTGTAAGTGTGAGTGAGTATGTGTGTGTGTGAATGAGTGTCTGTGTGTGTGTATGAGTGTGTGTATGTGTGTGTGTGTGTGAGCGAGTGTGTGTGTGAGTGTGTGTTGCGTGAGTGTGTGCGTTGTGTGTGTGTGTGAGTGAGTGTGTGAGTGTCAGTGTGTGTGAGTGTGTGTTGCGTGAGTGTGAGTGTGTGTGAGTGTGAGTGTGTGTGAGTGTGTGTGAGTGTGAGTGAGTGTGAGTGTGTGTTGCGTGAGTGTGAGTGTGAGTGTGTGTGCAGTGCATTGTGACACAGAGCCTCCACTACTCCCATCACTTCACCTCTCGTTACACTCTCATTGTTGCTGCCAAACTGGAGTGGGAGCGATGGAGCAAAGAGCATTCAGCATTAATCTGTTTTTACTGCACATCTCACACATCAGGGATCGGACGATCAGCTTCACCCCCAGTGCCACACACCCACACACACTCCCCCTGCCATAAACACTCCCCCCGCCACACACACTCCCCCCGCCACACACACTCCCCCCGCCACACACACTCCCCCGCCACACACACTCCCCCGCCACAAACACTCCCCCCGCCACAAACACTCCCCCCGCCACAAACACTCCCCCACCCACACACACTCCCCTGCCACAAACACTCCCCCGCCACACACACTCCCCCCGCCACAAACACTCCCCCCGCTACACACACTCCCCCGCCACACACACTCCCCCCGCCACACACACTCCCCCGCCACACACACTCCCCCCGCCACACACACTCCCCCGCCACAAACACTCCCCCGCCACAACACTCCCCCCGCCACACACACTCCCCCCGCCACACACACTCCCCCGCCACACACACTCCCCCCCACACACACTCCCCCCGCCACACACACTCCCCCCGCCACACACACTCCCCCGCCACACACACTCCCCCGCCACACACACTCCCCCCCCACCCCCCCGCCACACACACTCCCTATCTCCCCTCCACACACTCCCCCGCCACACACACTCCCCCCGCCACACACACTCCCTATCTCCCCTCCACACACTCCCCCCGCCACAAACACTCCCCCCACCCACACACACTCCCACCCCCACACACACACACACACACTCCCCCTACACACTCCCCCTACCCCCCCCACACACTTCTTCTCCCACCACCCTGTTTAGTGTGAATATGGGGTAACACAGCAGTCAATATACTCACAGCCGTGAAGCTCAGTTTATAATAATAATTATCACGTCATTGAAACGTCTCAAAGCGCTTCAAAAGTTACACTGTAAAGTGTAGTGACTGTAGATTACCCACAGCAATGTCCCACAAACAATCTTGGATTCACTGATCACATCTTTTTTTGGAGGGGTTATTACCCCCAAAAACAATCTGCCAGTCGACTAACAAGCGGGTTCCTACTTAAACAGAGGCGTGTGTGTGTGTGCGTGTGCGTGTGTGTGCGTGTGTGTGTGTGTGTGTGCGTGTGTGTGTCTCTGTGTGCGTGTGTGTGTGTGTGTGGAGTAAGGAAACTTGCCTAAGGTTTCGCCCTGACCTGACCCGCCCGGGAATCGAACCCGGGTCCTCTCACTTGTGAGGTGAGGGCTGTAACCATTCTCATAGTCAGGAAGATGCGGTGATGTGAGGGGTAAACGAAGGCGGTGTGGACGAGGATTTGAATTTTCTGGTCTCCGGCCCAGCTGATGAGTAGACAAAGGGGATGTGTGGGGATATCCAGGATAGAGAGATCATTATTTGTTTGGGTGTGTTTACAAATGTCATTTTGTTGTTGTTGTTTTATCCTGTGAAGCGCTTTGAAATGTCACATTTACCGAGATCGTTTCTAAGTGCTTCACACGATTTTTCTGTGACGTGTAGTGATTGTGTGCTCCGTAGGCAAACATGGCAGCCCAGTGTGGGCAGCGCAACGTACTCTAATTGGCCGTAAAGTCAATGACCGGTTCTGTGGATAAACAGAATGTTTGGGGGAAGGTTAAACTGTTTGTTCACTCAAGTCTCGATGACTGTGACATCGAAGCTCAGTGACCGGAGGGGGTTGGGTGGGTGGGAGTGGGGGTGGGGGTGGGGGAGGGGGAAATACTCAGCTGACACAATCAATGATGACCCTCAGATGTCAACAGAGGTGGGCAGCCTTGCAGATCGCTAGTGTCTGGCCAGAGCGTGTGTGAGGCCGGGAGCTGGTGGCTGATAGGAATGTGTAGCCATACTCCTGCCGTGGGCAGACCTGAGGGGCAGCTCATTGCTGGTGGTCTCTAACGGCGGATAGGGTTGGAAAGTGCTTCCCGGGCCCCGCTGTCAAGTGTTGAATGTGAATGGATTTCCAGACCATTTTGCGTCCAGCAACGTCAAACAAAGAGCCACAAACTGAGCGAGAGTGTGAGCGAGCGAGTGAGCGAGAGTGTGAGCGAGTGAGTGAGCGAGAGTGTGAGCGAGTGAGTGAGCGAGAGTGTGAGTGAGTGAGCGAGTGAGCGAGTGAGTATCTGGGGGTGGCGCCTACTGTAACACCGGGCACATCACTAAGCACTTCAACAACAACTTGCATTTACATAGAGCCCTTCACGCAGCGTAGCGTCCCGGAGAGCTTAGCACAAACTTCACAACGTTTATACTGAGTGTAGTGACTGCATGTCAGCCCAGCACTGTTGAGTCAGAAGGTTGTGAGAGAGACAGTAAGAGGTAGAGAGTGAGAGAAAGACACACACATAAGGTGAGAGTGAGTGAGCGAGAGAGAGAGAGAGAGACGGACGGAGGGAGGGAGACAGCAAGAGAGAGAAAGAGAGAGACACACACAGATAGAGTGAGAGTAAGCGAGAGACGGCACATTGAGAGAAGGAGCTCAGGGGAGAGAGAGAGAGAGGCGAGTTACTCGCCAAGATAACACCAGCCTCACACCCTCTGCCTGTCACAAGCCGCTGGTGCACGAATGGCCCAGATATCAGACGCCGGGAGCACACACAGCCCGTTTCTGCCACGTGAAACAGAACGTGGCTCGTGAACGAATGTGATTCACACGCAGACACACGTTAATAATCTAACGCCCTGCGCCTGGCCACAAAGCGCAGTGTTTTTAGCCGACACAGCCAACAACCAGGTGTGAGACTGAGTCCTGCGAAAAGCAATTAAACCTGTAACTTCACTCTGAAAATAACCGACAGGACAGTCTCTGAGCTGCTTCCCAACCAGATCGAGTTACCGGTTTAATTCCGATTTCACTCAATGAAGCCTTGCCTCCAGGTCACAGCTTAGCAACGTAAACACTACCCATCCTCTCCCTCCGTCTCTCCGTCTCTCCCTCCGTCTCTCCCCCTCTCCCTCCCTCTCTCCCCCTTTCCCTCCCTCTCTCACTCCTCTCCAAATCAGAAAGGATGTCTCAAAGCACTTCACAGGATTTACTGTCCAACAACAACTCCATGTTGGGTATCGTCCCGAAGCAGTTATCGTACAGTAGAGTGTAGTGACTGTGTATTTTGTAAGTAAACGCAGAAGCCAATTTGCATGCAGCGACATCTCACGAACAGCCGTGAAGCAAGTGAACTATTTTATTTGTGGGCATTGTCGGCTGAGACGCATAGAGAGAGAAAAACTCCCTTCTCTTTTTGAATAGTGCCATGAGATCTTAACGTCCGGCTGCACAGGGCGCAGGCTCTGTGAAACCCATATGAAGGCCGCTATATAAATGCAAGTTGTCGTCTTTGTTGTTTAATGTCTCATCTGAAAGATGGCTTCTCTGACAATGTGAATGAACGAGCGAGCGAACGAGTGAGCGAGCGAGCGACTGAGTGAACGAACGAACGAATGAATGAACGCTGAGATTCAGTTGACTGGAGAATCTCTCTCTCTCTCTCTCTCTGTGGCCTTGACTCCCCTCGTCACTGCCTGATACCATTAACAACCTGCGAAAGAGAGGGAGGGAGAGAAAGAGAGAGACGGAGAGAGAGACCTTTATGTCCCCTTTAAGTCTTGAATCATTGCTTTAGTCGAACTTTAATCATAAACTTTGTCAATGTTTTCCTTTCTTTTCAAGTCTCCGAAATTATTTTATTGTGGGAGGAGAGAAACCCGGTGTTCCCCCCTGAATTTTATTAATCCGTAATCGGAAAGTTAATCCAAGTGGGACGTAAAGCTCCTTCCTGCGCTCTTCCTGGCACACAGTTATGTGTTGAGTCCTGTCTTATCTGGATGAAAGAATGTCCAGCCTTGAGAGATCGGCTCCCACCCTCCGCGCCAGAGCTCTCGTACACCTCCAGCTCATTAACTCTTTGTGGCCACTCGTTCTCCCCCCCCCACCCTCCTGCACCCCTTCCCTGTTACCATAGGCCTCACCCACACTCCACCATTGGTACCTCGTGCATCCCTCCTCCTCCTCCTCCTCCTCCCCCCACCGCCCCACTCACTCTTCCGTTACACCCACCCAATTGAGGCTGGAACAAGACGCCCAGGTTCCTGGCTGGTGAGGTGGAGTGGGCATACATGAATACTGATGCTACCCGTGCCTGAGGTGTGGAGGCACTGGCGCGAGCCAATCAGAGGTATTGGATTAAGGAAACTTGCCCAACGTTTCACCCTGTCCCACCTGGGAATCAAATCCAGGTACTCTCGCTTGCCAGGCGAGTGCTCTAACCACTGAGCTTGCAGGACTCCACGATTTGGGTGCCGGTGGGTGCTGGGTTGGTGGGCGATGGGCGATTTGGGTGGTGGGTGGGGGAGCTTGAAACGGCTTGAATATAAAGTGCCAAAAAGTTAAGAGTTTGTTCGTTTAGCCATAACTGTGCTACAAAGAGTTTAACAGTCCAGTGGGCCCATAAAGGTTTTATTCTGTCAGGAGGGCAGAATGTATGGACATTATTGGGCTGGTGGAGGCACAGACGGGCCTTTATTGGCCTCGCACAGGGAGCCAACACACACTGGAGCACTTATTAATACAGACGAGGGCCTCGAAGCGAGGGAGGCGATGAGAAAGGCAATGATTTCCGCGGCTGGAACATTTCACACTGTAATGGGCAAAAAACAGGCTCCCGGAGAGAGAGAGGAGCGGAGAGAGATACACACACACACACACAGTGAGAGAAGGGGGAGAGACACACACACACACACAGCGTGAGAGAGGAGGGGAGAGAGAGATACACACACACAGAGTGAGGGTGGGGGGAGGAGAAAGAGGGATAGAGAGGGGAGTGCTAGAGAGAGAGAATGTGTGTGTATCTCTTGCTGTAACCCACTCTCCTCCACACATACACATTCACACACTCATTTATTCTCTTTTACTTGCACTCACTCTCACTCACTTACACACTCACTCACACACGCACACACTCGCACAGTTACAGAAAGGTTCAGGTTGTATATATATATATATATATCCCCCTCCCCTCCCCGGGTGGGTGTGAGGCTGGAGGTTGGTGCAGTTGTTTGTAAGAATGCGAGGATGGAACTTTGGCCTTTTTCCCTTTAACATTGGGGGACAGATTTCCACGGTTTGGGGACTGATTCCCGGAGGGTTTGAGTGGATCCTGTGGAACGCTCCTGCTCTCTGACCAGCTCCGGTTCGCGGAGGAGAATTGGGCGCTCCAGTCGGGATTGGCATCAGACACTGCTGACAAGTGCACTACAGCAATCAGACACATTATGCTGATCCTCACCCCCCCCCCACCCTCCACACACACCATAATTAAATCACTGGGACCTGGTGTACAGCCGCTGTCTGTGGTAAGAGGACGTTCTTTACTCACAATAGGATCTTTCTAAAATATCAATTTTATCGACCCTTTAGGGCTTTGGCTTCAGGGTTAACAGGAGCTGAGGGGGAGGATTCCATGCCCCCAGACTCAGTCAGTCACTCAGTCAGTCACTCACTCACTCAGAGACACACACACACAGACACACACTCACTCACTCAGACATACACTCATACACTCAGACACACACTCACCCACTCAGACACACAATCACTCACTCAGACACACACTCAGACATACACTCACTCAATCACTCAGAGACATACACACACAACCACTCACTCACACACTCATTCACTCAGACATACACTCACTCACACACTCACTCAGCTTTGAGCCCGGCCCAGACAATCTCTGCCAGCCTGAGAGAGAAAAGAGAGAGACGGGGATGGAGTAGAGGGAGAGGAAGAGAGAGAGAGGAGGGGAAGAGATAAACTCTCTACATGACCTAGAGTTTCCACAATTACAAGTTTAACACCTTTTCTTGATTAGTTTTTACTCACTCTCAGTGAGAGCGGGCGCCAAGCCTTGCTTTCACACACAAGTCACTTGGAAGGAAATCAGAACTAAAACTGATTCAGGCGTCATCGAGAGAGAGAGAGAGAGAGAGAGAGAAAGAGAGATAGTGAGAAAGAGAATAATAATGATCCTCACATTTGATAACAGTGCCTTATTGTGTCGTCAAAATGTCTCAAAGCACTTCACAGAATATGTTTAAAGTTTTGTGGATGAAATTGAAAGAGAAAGAAAAAATGAAAAAGAGAGGTGAGGGTGAAAGGAATGAGGGAAAGAAGGAGAAAAGAGAGGAGAGAGAGAGAGATTGAGGGGAAGAAAGACAAAACGAGAATGAAAGAGAAAGAACGAAACAGAAAGAAGGAAAAAGAAGGAAGGAAGAAAAGAAGAAACAAAAGAAGAAAGAGAGAAAGAGAGAGGGAAAGTTTTTCAAATAAATCACAACTATTGTTGAGTTGGGCTGACTGTGAACCAGTTGTATCCCCAATAATAATAATAAAAATAATTCTTGCATTTGATATTGCGCTTTTCACGTCTTCTAGACGTCTCAAAGCGCTTCACAGAATAGACTGTAAAGTGAATTATTTGTGGGTGAAACGCAGCAGCCAATTGCACACAGCAGTGTCCCCACAAATAGTCGTGGATTGAGTGAGCAAATTATTATTTTATTTATTTATTTTCTTGAGGGATTATTTTCAGGCGTGTGGAGTAAGGAAACTTGCCCACGGTTTCACCGTGCCAGGGAATAACCCTGGTCTCTCGCTTGCAAGGCGAGTGCTCTAACCACTGAGCTACAGGACTCCACAAATGAATGAAACAGAAGTAAAAGTGAAAACAAAAAGAAGGAAATTGCCAAGAAAAATTGCTGCTGGCTGAGGAGAGCCAGGAATTATGCTCTGGCTTAGCTCTGGCTCTCATTTCAACACTGAACACTCTCTCTTCCCCTCTGATTCTCGCTCTCACCATGTGTGCAGAAGCCTCCTGTGTTTCCTTGGCCTTGAGGAGGGGAAGGGGGTTCCTCTATTGAGCAGCAAGGTCAGAAAGAAACTTCACGGCAAAGTCCGACACGGATGCTATGGGGAGAGACTGTGAGCTGAGGGTGAGTCTGACACTAAAACGTGAACGACAACAACGTACGGCTCATCCTTCAGTTAAAATTTGAGATCCTGCCCGGACAAAGATCTCCCGCGGCGCTATTGGAAAGGAGAAGGGAGTTTCTCTCTCTCTCTCTCTCTCTCTCTCCTGGTGTCCTGGCCGACAATCCTCCAGATAAAATTGCTTGCACGCTTTGTGGCAGCACATCACACGACACTGAGTAACGGCTATCTGTTTCCTGGCCTACAAGGATGTTTTGGGGCTGTAAGTTGCCTCGAGTGCCCAGGCCTCCCCTCCCCTGCGTTACATTAACAAGTTACTGTCCATTTACACTGAGCAGGTTTCACACAATGGCAATCACACCAAGCCATAGCCCCCACTCCCCTCCCACCACCCCCTTCCTCCTCTAAATTGCTCGCGACTGTAATTAACTGGAACATTGTGTAACTAGAGTAAGTAACCAGCCGGGTTTCTGCCAGAAAACCCCATTAATATTTTGCTAAGGAAAGCTACACGCTGACTATAATGCACAGCTCATTACATTACATTACCTCCCGCTGGGAGCTGCCCACTGCCTCCTAAGTATTAATCTTTTATGTAGATTTATACTCCTGGAAATTAATGTTTGAACAAAACCAACAAAGGCAAGTAAACTGCACCCACATCTCCAGACAGATCTTTTCCTGGGCCTGACCTGCCCGCTCGCTCGCTGTCTGGCGAGCACTGTGCCTGCTATCTTGTCTTATATCCATATCATACGGAGTCCTGTAGCTCAGTGGTTAGAGCGTTCGCCTCGCAAGCGAGAGGACCTGGGTTTGATTCCCGGGCGGGGAGAAACCTTAGGCAAGTTTCCTTACTCCACACGTCTCTGTTTACCTGCAGTAAGATGGAACCCGGTTGTTAGTCGATTGGCGGAGTGCTTTTGCAGGGGTAATAATACCTCAAAAATAATGTTGGGTCATTCAGTCCATGACTGGTTGTGGGCCACTGCTGTGCGCAATTGGCCACCACATTTCGCCCACAAAATACACAGTTGCTACACTTGACAGTATATCCTGTGAAGCACTTGAGACGTCACAACAATGTGATCAGGCTCTGCAACAAATGCAAGGATGATGATGATTATTATTATTATTATGAGTCACAGAAAGCCACGGATGGAGAGATTGTTACCAGGATGACAAGATAAAAGGGTGTAACTTTCACAAGGCACTTCAGGTGATAATTAGCACGAGCTGCAAACTTTCCTCCCCAGTGCGGAGAATCCACAGAGTAAACTCTGGTCTGGCACACGTTAGAATTCTCTTACAGGAGACAAAGGTGCCATGGAATCTTTAAAAAGGCATAAATTCTGGCTTTAGCTCAATTTATAAAGCGTTGGCAATTTATTCAAATCTTTCATAGAATCATATAAAAATGACAGCACAGTCTGTGCCGGTGCTCGCTCCCCCACTGCAGCTCTTTACTTTAATCACATTCCCTGCTCTTTCCCCCGTACCATCTAATATTATTTCCCTCAAGTGCTTATCCAATTTGCCTTTAAATGCAATTGGTTGCTGCGGTTCGTCCAGAAGTATACAGTCAATTCACTTTACAGTCTATCCTGTGGAGCACTTTGAGACGTCTAGAAAAATGCTATATCAAATGCAAGTATTATTATTATTATAGATGTAGCTTCAACAGCCATATGTACTGAGCCAGGATATACCTCCAGAATCCTAGAAAATTCCTCCAGTTATGCACTAGACAGTAGAATGTTCCACAACCCAGTCCTGGGTGGGGTGGGGGGGTGCGAGGGGGTAACAGTGTTCATTATTATTATGGCGCTTAACAGTTTGCTGATGATGCCAAAGCTCAGCAGGCGAACAATTAATAGATTGAACGCTTGGGAAAATGTCACCAATTAAGTGTTTAAGACGGAGAGCGGCAGATGGGCTGTTAAGGAACAGTCTCGCTCTCCTTTTCTAACCAGCTACACGGGTACTAAAGCTCCAGACACAGTGCCCCCCTTCGCTCGGTGGGTCGCGCTCCGGTCTCGCCAACGGGTTTGCAGTCACCGAGGTCCATTGGTGAAGAAAAAGATCCATAGAGCTTGTCGGCTGCTCGGCAGCCGGGGAAGATCATCCCAAATCAATGGGAAAACCAAACATTCCACGGCCGGTTCGAGCTAATCAACTCCTCCTCCAATTACAGCCGGGAAACACGCAGCCTGGCTCCGTCACTCCTGCTCTCACCTGTACTGCCAGGAGGCCATGGGATCAAACCCTGCGCTGGGGACGTGGGGCTCACAGTCCA